GAGAGAGAGAGAGAGAGAGAGAGAGAGAGAGAGAGAGAGAGAGAGAGAGACGATAAGTCTCCAACCTCGGCGAGGGTACTTCCGTCGATCGAAGTGGGGATTGGAGGAAGGGGAGGGATGCGGTATCGGGGAGCACGCGGGACTCGGGATTGGGACTAAGGAGAGGAGCGGGCATTGGAGGAGGGGGAGAGATACGGTATCGGGGCGCAATCGGGATCGCGCATGGAGGGGGATGGGACCAACGGGGACGGTCGGGATTGGAGGGAGGGATAGCGGATCGGGAAATGGGATTGGGGCGCACGGGCGGGGAAGGAAATAGAAGTCGGGATTGGTTGGGAGAATGACCAAAATTAAATGTATCTTCCGCTACAACATCGAAATATGCATTGTCGCCATCAAAGAGTGTTGCTGGGGTCCACTTGTAACCTCTAAAAATAATGTAAGTTGTCTCTACCCAAAGAAATGAAAATGGGTACGGCAAGGTCTTCTTGAATTTAAGGGCAACGCTATCCACTACCCCAGCTCAGTTGTTACACTCCTGAACTGTTGAAAATTGAAATACAGTCTTGAGGTCTCGAGTTCGAACTCCACTGGAAGCAGAAGGAAGCCAAGGGCAACAGACTTACCGTCATTATTGGTGCAAAGGCGGACTCATTTATGGCCAGCGGTGGAAACAGCGGCTCGTATTGCCCTTGGATGTTGCAAGCCTTCAACTGGAAGTTGCGCCCTGGTGCCAGCTGGAACATCAAATGCTGTCCATAAGCATCCGCAGGGACCAAGTGCCCTGCAAGAGAGCACAGCGGCCCAGGATGCATCAAACAGCTTGCCATTTCATGTCTTGCAGTCTGACACCAGGAACAGCATCAGCGCAGTCGCATTTGCGTTCCCATTCACATTCAGCGCATTGCAAACATAGGACACAAACACACAACAGAACAGACAACACAATAAGATTACGAGTACACACAAAAAAAAAAATGTTGTCCACTCCATGAAAAAGTTGGGAAATTGTACTCTTTGCTTTGTCCAAAGAACCGGAAGGGGGTGTGGTCCCCCAGTGGTGGACAGGTTTGGGGCGCAGCTCTCGCTATCGAACATATAAAGTGCAATGTTATGAGGATCCTGGCTATTCCGAACAGCAAATGCACAAGGAAAGACAATGCCGTTCAATAAATAACTTCAATTGCAAAAGAAATGAAAGAACTTGGAAAGGTGCTTAGCTCAGTCGGTACAGCCATGCACTGTTGATCCAAGTTCGAATCCAGATGCAATCAGATGACAGAATAAGATACCTCTGAATTACCTGGGGCCAGTTAGTTCAATGATGATATCTCAAGGCCGTCGCCCGTTTTTTTTTTTTTTTTTAAAGAAAGAGACAAAGGAAGAAGAAGAAAGAAGAAGAAGACGAAGAAGAAGAAGAAGAAGAAGAAGAAGAAGAAGAAGATGAAGAAGATGTCATCAGCAACAGACCAATGACAAAGCCCGTTTTTTTAAATGAAAAAAAAAAGAAAGGGAAGACGAAAGAAGAAGAAGAAGAAGAAGAAGAAATCAGGGCAATGACGAACAGGTAAAAACCAGTTCTCTGGAGGACCTACAGCACCAAGCAATGCTTTCAACTGCAGATCAAACATCATCAACAGAATTACGCTCCCCTCAACGTGTTTCAACCTGCGCGTAATACAGGTCTCTTCAGGAGGTCACTACAACCGCCGAATGCCAAGTGGAAAAGCAAGCCCTTCCACCTACTTTATAGTTCCAAAAACTGCGTCGTCATATATCTCTATCCCCATCCCTTCCCCTATCCCTTTCTACCTCCCTCTCATCCTCCCTCCCTTCATGACGGCCATAATCCCCAAACATCTGATTGAGTAGTGTTCTTCTTGTCTTCCTGCACCGACGAGACATAGTGTACAGCAGAGGAGTACACGCTCCGACATAGAAAGATAGCTGGCGTATCCTCACGGGTATGACGTGAGCGCAAAAAAGGTCAGGTAGTCCCACCTACTACCAAGTTATACCTACGGTGTCTGCAGCTCGCGGCGAGAAGCCAAAAAAGCTAAAAAGGCTAAAGAAGCTAATTTTTTTTTTTCAAAATTGGTACCCCAAGGAACAGTCGTGCCCAAAAACCGGGCCCAAAACATTTCCTGTCATACATCAAGAAGTTAAGTTACCATTGGTGCCCAAAAAAATACACCCACAACGGTTAGCCTTTCCGTCCTCTGACAAGACAGATCCTCCACGGGCCCAGATTTCAAAATTGCCTCGCGCGTTTTTTGCGAGAAATCCGGCAGTCACAAAAGTGACCCCCCAAAAAACCCCCCATTTTGAACTTCTTTTTTTCTGTCCCTAATTCTTCAGCGCTGGCTGATTCCATACATGTGCTTATGGTGGGGGTAGACCTGTGAGATCCAAGATCTCCAGGAACCACCCACCACCTTGGCAAACCTTGCCAAGGAACCAGAAGAAGAAGAAGAAGAAGAAGAAGAAGAAGAAGAAGAAGAAGAAGAAGAAGAAGAAGAAGAAGAAGTCATTAGCAACAGACCAATGACAAATCCCACTTCTATCACCACGGACTCCGACCTCCTTATGTCACCCAATCTTTTTTTTTTTTTTTTAAATAAATAAATTTAAAACAGCTCCTTACGGTCCTGGCTCCTAAGCCATTCTTAAGAGCGTCAGTCCGGTTCCTATTCCACAGCAAGTCGGAATGAAACATTAGATAATATACACCCTCACGCTTCCTTCCGTCTGGCCGAAGGATTCCTGACCAGCAGTGATTGCTCCGATATTGGAGGATTGACTGTCAGCTTGCCTTTGCATCTACCTTTCCTCTCAGGTCCACTTGTCTGAACCTGCCAAATTTGCTTGAAGACCAAGAAAGATAAGGGACTAAGGCAACTTGCAATCTGACAATTTGCCCTTGACTACTATGTACTGTGTAGCCTGTGGTGGGACTCGTACGTCTGTTGGCTGACCTCTCAACCTTCTCCCCCCCACTTCCAAGTTGTGCCAGTCTTTCCACCCTATGTGTGAGTCCTTTATCTCTGCCACTCTGCCCCCTGCCAGCCAGACACCTCCTCCACTCTCCTCCTCAACTCCTCCTTCCTCCTCCTCCTACCTGGTCCTGTGCACCATAGCCGAGGTGAAAGGCCAGGCGCTCCTCCTCCCAGCACTCTACACCAGCGCACCTCCTCCCAGCGCTCTACACCAGCGCTCCTCTGCCTTACGTTCCAGCAGCATGACGCCCAAACTTGTACACTGCAAATGAGGAAGAGCCTAGAGCTCTTCCTGAAGATATACCGGGCAACTTGCCCCTTGGACGGTGACTTCCAGGCCACACGGACTCCCAAGCAACCGGTACCTTCCTCCATTCTGAGGGAAACATCATTCCAGGTCGGATATCGTCCGCTACGGGCCCTAGACTCAGACAACTGGACTGGTACCCCTAGACCTAGGCGTACCGGAGTACTAAAATTTACTCCTCGGCCTCTAAAGGTTCTAACTTTGCCCTATACTTAGACTAATGGAGTGGTACCCCTAGACCTACCGTCTTTACCCTAATAGAACGCCCGGTCATTATCGCTGCATCTGGACTGAAAGTTGGGTCAAATGCAGCTATAATGACCGGGCGTTCTATTCGGGTGGAGACGGTAGGCCTACCGGACTAAAATTCACTCAGCCTCTCTCTACCTACCACTAGTCAAGTGGACCCTAAGCTACATGGGCCTACCCTACCGCTAGTACCGTTACGTGCGTGTTTTCCCCGCTGCAACCCTCAAAAGTCACGGCCACAGGTAAGTACCGGCCCGAGGACCTCCCAAACATACAAGTACCTTGGCGGGTCACACACACACACACCCAAGCAATCATACACTCAGACAAACACACGAAAACCCAGCAAGCACGCACACACACAGACTTGGAAATCTCCGCAGAAAGCACGAATCTCAGCAAGGCACACATTCCAGCAGTATTCCAGCGGTAAAACTCAGAAATCAGCAGAGTTCTCAGACTATGATTTTGCAGGCCATTAGAGCTATATTGGGTTCTGTAACAAGTTGGCAACATCCTACCCTGGTGTTCCACCAAAACGACGGGTAACAAAGTGATGTTGATAAATGTCATGATATAGATGCAGTACACAACGGAGGAGGACCAGATGACGATGGAGGAGGAGGAGGAGGGGAGGGGGAGGAGCAGAAGAAGAAGAAGAAGGAGAAGGAGAAGGAGAAGGAGGAGGAGGAGGAGGAGGAGGAGGAAGAATTGAGGGCAAAGCAGAACAGACAACACTGTTCACACGGACGACAAAGGCAAGTACAATCAGATTAAATCCAATTGAAACTTAAGCCATCGCCAAACACTGCTATGTACGCAACCCCTCAACGCGTTTCAACCTGTGCGCACTCAGGTCTCATCAGGAGGACCAACCGCCCACCGCCCACCCTTAAGATCCCTTCATGCTTTTATAGCACATGATTGCCATTCTTTTCTTCTTCCCACGCTTCTCACTGTGTTTTCTGCTCTCCAGGCTACCCATCCTGCTCACTCCATCATATCCAAGCCGTGTCCAGTCGATCGTGTTTTTCACTGCGCCCTGCTCCATAACCTCCATCATCAGAGGGCAGAGGAAGCTGCGGCTCAAAACTACCTTCTCTCGTGCAGGGAGCAGACGAAAAGCAATTTGCTACCAACGCATACAATTATATGCTTCAGCCAGGTTCATCCGGCGCTCGTCAATCGATCCAAGAGGTGACGGCACCTGAAGTTCTGCACCTGCAGGTCCTACATACCACTGCAGAGGGCCCAAAAGCTGGCCACACCCGATCCATGTATCTGGCCTGCCCAGTGCCCCACATTCATTCGGGTCCCAGACCCAGGCCCTGTGCCCAAAAAGAACCGAGTACCGGATACTACAAGGCAATGGTCAGAACAAAAGGAAGGAGCAGAAGTCCCGGTGTGCCCAACACAAAAGGGAATCCTGCAACCCCTTATTTTTCCGTGAAAGGACAAAGAGGATGCCGACATTTTCACCCCCTATAGTACAGCAAAGAAGTTTTTTTCACACCTACGGTACATGGACAGGAAAAAAACTTCTTCAATGTCCATCTTTTCACTCAATCACATTTTGGGCGTGCTCCAACTGTCTGGCACAAGTCCCATTACCAAAGGAGAGTCATAGGTTCAAGGTGAATAGGGGTTAACCGTTAACCCGAACCGAAGAAGGTGGGTCCGAAACTCCTATGATAAGAGCTCTCTGTTCCTTGTAGGTGGGGGTACATGTCGAGGATCAAAGATCCGCAAGGACCACCCGCCACCCAGGCAACCGTTGCTCGGTATCCGAATAAGAAGGAGAAGAAGAAGACGAGCCAATTTACCCGCCTCCCTTCAGTTTGGTATCACTTCCTTCTGTCTTTGATCAAGTTTTATGGCGCTCCCATGTCTCTGATGCCACAAGCTCAGACCACCGTACAGCATTCCAGTCAAGGCCTCCCTATAAAAATTCTGCCTCATGATCTCCTTGTCAGAATGTCCATCCCATGGCTGCGCACACGCTTTAGTCTAGCTGCGACTCTAGCACTGCCTGTAAAAAATTCTGTAAAAAATTCTGGGTATTGCGCACACGCTTTAGTCTAGCTGCGACTCTAGCACTGCCTCCCATGATCCTCCCGGACCTCACCCATGAGGACTCCCTCTCCCCCAGGAGGACTCCCTTCCGCCGCCATGGGGAACCCTTTCCCAGAGAGAATAACAACACCCAAACTAGCAGAGAATAAACAAACTGCCCCCCAAAGCACATCCATAGAATCCCCAAGGCCCTTAGGCTAGTTAATTACCCTCAGGAAGCACGCTTACTTACCCAAAGAAAATTAAAGACCACCTCTAGTGAAGCACACTGTCAGGTGAAAGCCATATAAAGCGGACAGACCAGACGAGCATCCGGTCTGGTCCGCTTTGCCGCGTGCGGCACCCTCCCCCCGGACCAGACGGACCCGGACCGGACCGGACAGGGCCATTTTTTTTTTTTGGGGGGGGGGGTGGGG